AAAAAAAAATCATATGATATACTGAAAAAATACTTGAAAAAAACGAATTTGCAAAAAAAAGTTATACATTCGTATGCAAAATAATGAGTTTACTATGCGCGCGCGTCAGATTTACACCTTAAAATATACGAAATTTCAATATTTCATTTTACTATATTGCATTATTTACAATAAAAACCTATAATTTTTAGCTTCTAAAGTTGGTTTTAAAAGCTTTTTTAAAATATTTTTATTATTAAAAACAAGTGAAAGTTGAAGAAAACCAGTTACAGAAATATAATTATAAAATTTTTTGGCAAATATGACTTGTCATAAAATGAAAGAAAATATTGTTTTTATGATATTTCTGTTTGTAAAATGGGTGAAACTTATTTCGCGCGCGAGATGCAAAAAATGCTTTTTTTTATTATCGCTATTATCCCCGAATTTTATTAGTAACGCAGTGCCGTTTTTAGGCGGATCGGCAATTAACTAGTTCGGTTTTGGTCCAAACTAGTAGTAGTTTAAGTGTTTATACAAGATCTAACCAGAAGCTAAAACCTGGGTTCAAAAACTGGGTTGTAAAACTTTTTAATGAAACTTATATCTAAATCTCAATATGGAATGAGTAAACTTTTAAATATGATAACGCACGATGCTAACGAATAACAATATTTTCATCAAAATTGGTTTATATCCGGGGTATCATTTTAGTCAGTGCTATATATACGGTAACTCGAATTTGATTTTTTTACATTCGGGTCGAATTCGAATATATTCTCAAACCTTATTCGATTTGACCTTTTCGGAGCATTATTTATATTCTCATTAAAAGAAAATAGATAAAGACGTAATTTCTCATCGCTTTTTTCTTTTATTCAATTGATTCAATTTACATTTTATATTTCCATTTTATTCATTTACAGTCAAAGAAAATTTTTTGAAAGTAAAAGTTTACTAATAAAATGTATAAAACTAAGTTCAAATGTCATAAAAACAATTTAAATTTAAATGATACATAACTAGGATTAATTTTTGAACTTTTCAGAATAAGAATTATAAAATATAATCATATGAAAGAAATAAAAATCCTAGAGTTGGCTAAATTTAGGCTAGTCATTTATTATGTTGTACTATATTATATAAATGATAGTTGTCAATTGGTACTTTAGAAGATTAATGCGCTAACTACAAAAGGCCGGTCCGAAATGTGTGACAGGTTACGCCGAATATATTACCCAAACACTATTTATCTGAGGGACTTGTTGTCTAAAACTTATTTGTCACCTGTTATTTGTCACCGATCCGCCCTGCGCACAAAATCTATTTAAATTTTGCCGGATTTTCCGAAAGCTTTTTGATAAATCCGTAAAAATTTTTTAAACCCGGAATTTCTTCGGACATGGCACAGCAAATTTCCGGTAAATTTTATGAATGCCGGAATTTTATTAATATATAATAAAAACGTTAAAATATTAATTCTCATTTTCTTGAGTCAAGCTATTATTAATTCTTTAATGCTTAAATCCATATTGTAATAAAGACATAATGAAAATATTTGAGACTTTAGAATTTATGCCGAATTGCCAATTAAATAAAAAAAGTTTTTTTTTATTGGTTCCAGTCACATGTTCCGATGCAAAAAATGGAATTTTTTGATTTTTTCGGAAAATTTCCGGTATTTTTTCAAAAACTTTTTGTGCGCTGAATCCGCCCATATGACATATCATTTATATCAATTTAATACGGCAAACGTGAATTTAGTAACATCGTTCCACAGTCATCATTTCACTCATTTGACTGCATGCGGAACATACTTTTTAACTTACTTAATAAAGTCTTAAATTTTTTATTATCATAATTACATTAAATTTTTTTTTTTTAATCTGTCTTAAAAAAATCATATCTTAACGCTTCTTCAACTAAGATATCCAACGAACTTGCTTCTGGATGAATATCCCTTCTAGAAAGAAGCGATTTTTTGGTAGAAGTCCAAAAATTTTTTATTTTATTTTCGGAACGTAATTTACTGAATTGACCATTCATCTTAAGAGTTAATTTTTTCCAACTAACATTATTATTTAGTCTTATTTCCTGGATGATATACATTCTTTCATCATAACCAAGCGGGTCGTGACAAACTAATGTAAAACATAAATTCAAATTATTTTTTTATTTTTTTTTTCTTTCTGAAAAAAAAAAATCAAAAAGATTTAACTTACGAGCTGGGTCGAGTATATTCGTGTACCTAAAACCAAAAACATTTTTTTTTTTTTAAAAAAAAAAAAAGGTAAAAAAGTAATTTAAATTAATTTAATACATGATAAACGATAACTTACCTTTGTCTTATTTGCTTTGAAGTAAACTTTAAATACAATCCGGGCAATTTACTAATCATCAAATAGCGGTCTTTATGATTTCCCAATTTTTTTATATTCTCCAAGATAATTTTATCATACTACAAAGAAAAAAAAATTAAAATTATTTTAAAATGATTAAAAATAAAAAATTTTTTCAAAAAGCACGTACATGACTGGAGAATGGATGTCCTTTTGTTTTCTTTGCTTTTCCCATACTTATGATCTGAGACCCTTTTAGATCAAGGTACAGAGACAGAATGTCAACCTTCCTATTTATGTATTTTTTTCTTTGGTCAAAGTCTCAGCCCCTTTCAGGAGATCAATCAATAGTAGTACATTAAATCGTTCATTTGAATCAGATTATTTATTGTCTTTATTTAGTTGTTCAATAAAATAGAAATCACGTATGTATGATACGTATGATGATATATATTCTCGCTTTTTTACCCTAAATCTGAAACAAAATGAAATTATCCCATAATTAAGGAAATTACATTATTAAAAATGAAACGTATCACGATTATTTAACTTGTATTAAATTAAAATTTTTTTTTTAATTAAATTTTTCACGATTAGGTCAATAATGCAAATGTCGACAATGGTTGATATGGTTGATGTGGCCAATAATGGAGATCACCCGCATCACATGCATCGTGTTTATGTTTATTTATTGAATATTAAATATAGTACAATGCATTTTTTTTTTATTGTCAAACAATTATTATTTTTTTAGGTTAAAATAAAAGCTTATTAATTAGTCATTTATTTATTACAGTATTACTATTATTTTATTTTATTTTTTTTTAAAAAAAAGGGAAAATCAATAATTTATTTGTTCTCGTATATTTTGACGACACGAAAATTTTTCTTTTTATTAATGAACTTTTCGAATATGATTTATACATAATATATTCAAAAAATCATAATTTATAAAATCCTGAGTTAATAAAAAAAAAAAATTGCTTGTAATAAATTTTTTAAAAAAAATGAACTTATTCAGCCATAAAATCATAAAATTAGAACAATTGAATATTGAACACTTGGAATAATTCACTCCGATGTTTGTAACAATAATAATTATTATTCAAAAAAAGTAAGTGGCTGGACTGAGATATTTCTAATGACGAATTAGTGAATGTTGGATACACAAATCAAAATCCCTTACGCAAATCCCTTACCTCTAGGGTTCTCATCATACCTCGCTTATTTCTTGCATTTGTGTTTATCCAATCACTATAAAAGGCAAAATTGCATCACTACTTTGATCATTTGATCTTATCTTCACAGTTCATTTCGGGGGAACATTGGCTCTAGCTTCGGGAGCTTTCCGACAAATTTCGAAAATGTGCAATTTATATGATGTCAGTATATAGAAAATAATTTGTGCGCTTTTCCAAGTCCCGCCAATGATAGTTTAATTAAACAGAGGAATGAATTTACAATTGTGTGTGTGAATATTTCACTACCCTAATGTACAATATTTTTAACACCTGCCATAAAGAATATTATAAATTTATATTGAACGTCTCTTACTTCCTTTTTTACTATCAAAAAGAATCATGTTTTGTAATTATTGCAAGTTTTTTATAAAGTAAAAAGAATTTGCCTCCTATTTATAATAAATTGTTTTGTGTATATTTTATATTTACAAATATTGAAAAAGTAAATAAAACGCACAATCAAACTGCTTTTAACATATAATGTAACGTTCTAATTTGGTTAATATGCGCTATCAAAGATTCTTCGATATCACGAACCTTCTTTTTTTTCTTTTTTTGTTTTTGTTTTAATAATAATTCTAAAATCATGTCGGCTGAATTTCATTGTTAATGTAGACAATATTATATAATCAGCTTTTTTTTTAGTAACACTATATTTGGCAATTTCTTTTTCCGGGAGCCAATGAATCAGAAAATTATTTCCTTTTTTTTTTTTTTTTTTTTTATTTGATTCCTTGAATTATTTTTCTATTAATGGTTTACAATCTTTCTGTTACTCTATTAATAAAAAAATAATTTGATCAACGAATTTATTNTTTTTTTTTTTTTTTTTTTTTTTTTTTGAGAAAATGGGATTTTTCTTACACCATATTTCTTATGCACATTATTCACAATGAAAATGATTTAATACAACCATATTTGCTTTCATTTTTTATTTTGAATAATTATTTATTATAATTAAAATTGTTAATATTGTACTCACAAGATGAGATTGAAACAAGGGTGTGATTATTGTTACATGCGGTCATATATGGTATTAATTGTGAGACGAGAGGTAAAAAACCCCGATTCGGTAATGGTGTGATATCACTATTATTGATGCCATTAAATGCAAGCAAGTAGCAACAACATCATGTGTAATTTATTGTTTTTTTTCATATTTTTTTTTTTGTTTCACGTGCTTTCGATCTCCATCATTTATTTTATCTTATTTTATCGTAAGTTGAAAGAATCTCAAAGAGGTCCCACTTATTCGAAGAATTTCCTTGTTCTGATCAATAAAACATAAATAAATTGATTGATTTTTAAAATAATAATAATGATTCATTTTAATTGACTCACTTTCGAATGTAAAAACCAACCCATTTTTTCTTTCTCAAGAAATTCATCATTCCCTCTTAAAATTTATTTTGGAGGAAATACAAGGAATTAAGGTATAGTCCAACTTTGGAAGTTCTTTGAATGGCATTATTTATCAGAATAAATGTTAATTGGAATGTTTATCTATAGTGATTGATTTTTCCACGTAAAAATCAGCCTTTTCATACAGTAGTGTATGAAAGTTCATTATTACCTTTATAAATGAGTAAAATGACGGGATAATAATGAAAGGAAAAATATGGACGAAGATCAAAAAATTCCCTGTTATCAAACATACATTATTAGATTTTTCGGTTCTTGTACGCAATGAAAAAAAAATTTTCATTCAGTTTTATACATCAATAAACTTAAATATGGAAATACCTTTTAAACCCTCCATGTAATTCTTATTTTATTGTGAATCAACTTCGAAATAATCAAGAATCTCATTTAAATTTAACGTATTTATCTTTCGTAAATTCGTCCCCTACACTTTTGCAAAAAAATTATGTCCTCATTAGTTTGGATCCTAAGTACAATAATTCAACAGAAAGAATTTCAAAATGCTTCACAACCTAAAGTAAATAAACATCGTACCTTTACTTTGTTCCACAATACTTGGTACTTCTATCTTGTTCTGTTATAACCGACTCGTTTTTTCGAAGCGGTAAATATCCAAAACTTATATAAATTCCAACAAAGGCCGCTACTTTCACTGCTTGATCGCAGTTGTTTGCAATAATTCCAAATGCTTCAGTTGTAAATATTAAGCCGAACAATATAAAACTAATTCTAAAACGGCGTAAACCATCCTATAATAGAACAATTGATTTTTACAGAATTAAACAAGAAACAGTACATTTTTCTTTTAGTTAGTAATGTTAAATGAACAATCCCTTTAGAACTTACATAGTTTAAGTTTTGTCTCTACAGTAGATAGGCCCATTTCTCATAAAAAGGAAAAAATAGTTAATTTATGTTTTCTCAAAAAAACACTTGATTCTCAAAATCTATCGATAAATAAAATATTACCTTTTAGTGCCATTTGAGAAACCAAAGTTAACCCCACAAAAAAAATGATAAAATGATAAAATGTTATTATTGTTCCTAAAGTTCAAATTCACATAGCAGAATACTTGCAAGTTCAGAATCAAAGATCAGTCACAGCTAATGTCTCTCCCCACAGATATCGTTCGAAACGTGGCTTGCCAATTGATATTTTCATATGTGGTGGCAGTTACAAAAGGGTCGTACTCATTCGAGAAGCTAAGTGTCGGCGTGCCAGCTAACGAACTATTGGATCATATAGAAGTTAAATGAACTTCTGAGCCAATTATAGGTAGTGCCAAAAATGAACTGGCAATGTTTAAATGAATTGCGGATTCGTCAACCATGAGATTCGTACGCAGTACGCTCGATGTCTAAACCATAAGTCTAACAAGTCACAAGTTCAATTTACAAGAGCCGAGAATTCCTAAAAAAAAAAAACTTTACGTATTAGATCAACTGAATCACAATTTGGTCTATATCAATGGTTAGTATAAGTGTGATCTTACTTCTTTTTCCATATTCATCTCCCTCATCCATCAATTACATCATTATCTACTCACCTTAACTCTTCTTTGATTCTAACAAATCTGCTCGTCTTAGTCGTCCAGTCGTTCAACTAATTTCCAAATAGATCTAGAGATTAAAACTTCGATCATTTATATACTAATAAACAAATACAAAAAGATGGAACAAAATAAACTGAAAATATCGCTTCACCTTTATCTCCTTGGCCAAAACCCACTTTGTTTCATCAATAATAATATTACTCTTACTCTACAATACCTACCGTAAACCTATTTCTCTAAACCATATTGAAACTTAAAGATTCATTAAACAGCCAATTCTCTCGAAAACATTAAAATATTTTAATTCACTATCACCTTTTGTAAATTGAAAGTTTCAACATTTCAAAGGTCAGAATTTTTGTTCATTGGATTGCAGATTGTGCCTTCGAACCATGGCTCATATGATTGTGATTGCCCTCTATTCATCTTCCGTAACAAAGTTAGACACAGTACAGCAAGCATTCTAGATATAATTTGATGTACGACACAGTTGATGCTTGTAAAAAGATTCGTACAAGAAATGCATATTGGTATGCCCTAAACTATTTCACCATTCAAAACTGTTCTACAAGCAATTATTATGGTTAAATTACCAATTGGATAAATAGGTTATCTTATTGAAAAAAATAAGAATTTTAAATCATACCCATAAATCGCACTTCCACATTAGATAAGTTGAACACATTTCTTATGAAAAATTAATTTGCCGCAATGGATAGCGTAATTAATATTGTTTGCAAATGTGTGAGGGTTTCCTTCGGTTTGATTCGAACCTGCGCTTTTAACTTGTCGATAATTTGACGTAATAGTATTTTCGGATTCAATCCATGGTTTTTCTGTTAAAAGTGAAATAGGAAAGTCTTGAGGAATTTTTTTTTTAAAATGAAAAATAGGATTTTAACTCATTAAATGGGCGTCAAATCACTAAATCACTTAACAAGATAGCTTAGCTTTTACCATTGACGAATTCTGGAATTTTGAAGACGATAATTCTTTTGATATATTTTGTACTTTCTCGTTCCAAAGAATAATTCCTCTTTTGTTTTCATTATAATAAAAATAAATTTTTTTCAATTAAATATATTTATTTTATTATGCATTTTGTATAACAATTTTTTTTTTCATTTCTTTTTTTTTTAAAAAAAAAAGAAATAATGTTACTAAAAAAATCCGTAATGAGAGGAAATAGAATTTATATCATAATTTTTAATTTATTAATTAATAATTAACGTTAAAATCAAATTTAAAAAAAGGAAATTTTTATTAAGATTCTATAATCAAAAATGGTAAAGAAAAATATTTTTTCTTGTCACACTTTCCTTGTAAATCAAAAAAAGACGGGGTATTTTTTAATCGAAAATAAAATTTTTGTTTACACATTATGTATTGCTTTAAAACGATAAATAAAACGTGAATGCTAACCAGTTATATATTAATTTAAAGGAAGCGTACCAGAATTCAATTCAGAATTCAAGAATTAACTACGCCATTATGCGATATGCAATGTTTATATTACAGTAATTTTTCTTGTTTTCTGATAACGCGAAAAAATTGTAATTACAACAATTACAAATTAAATGTTATTGATGTGACATTATTATCAATTACGATACGATTGATGATTATCAAAGTTTCAGAAAATATTTATAAATTTAGATAGCAATTTTATAAAGTAAATTAATTTAAACCGGTCCATTAAAGACCAATAAAAAAATTTTTAATTTTATTATGTAATATATAATTGAAGGTCCGTTTATGAAATTATTATTTTAATCTAAGTCCAAAATAAATATATACGTGTGTTACATTTCTAATTCTTTCTAATTCTTTTGAATCGAAAAAATTGCCAATTGTCTCTTATAAGATAGTCAAATTTTTAGAGAGTTTTTACAATTTAAAATTTTAATAAATTAGTTTAAATAATCATAATAAATCTTACTCGAATTTTCGTTGTATTTACTAACTTCTTGTATACAAACTGCTTATTTAGTTTTAATTGGGCATCTTCTTTTTCTTTAATTATCAGCTGGACGCAGTTTGTTAATAGTTAGGTTTGTGTTATTTAAGTACGATCTTTATACGTTTGGTTCCGTATTATACCTGTAACACACGTTTGAAATAACTTTTTCAATAGATGGCGCCGACTGTTCTACGTGTTAAAATTATATTTTAACGAACAGAATTTCTCTTGAGGGTGACAAATATTAATTTTTTTTTAAAAAAAATATTCGTATCAATTGAACAATTTTGATTTCAAGTTGTTTTTGACTCGTCGCTTTCGCATAAAATGAATTATGCATAATAGTAGTTTTGTTACAATAATCTAATAATATGAAAAAATACTATGCATCAGCTAAATCAATTATTGGGTACAGTATATAAATATAAAATCAAATATATTACTAACGCTAATGGCCGTCTGAAAGAAGTTCTCTCAGTCTAAATGATTTTTAAAAGCCTTCTAATAAACTGGCACGTTATTCCTCCAAGCATTATTAACCATTTTATCATCTTTATTAATAATAACTACTAGAGCTTAACTGATATAGTTTAGTCTAAAACTAGCTAGTTTACTAGTTTGAACCAACTTAATCAATCTTTGTTCATTATACTAGTTTTAAAACCGAGTCGATATACATGAATGGGAATTTGTAAATTTTGCCTGTATTAGTTCTGTATCATTACTAATAAAATTGCATACGGTTTACCATAAAAAAAAAAGAAAGAAAATTGTTATTCGTCAGCATCACGTGTTATCATATTTAAAATATCAAAGTTTACTTGTTCCATAGATCTTGCTTAAGCACTTAAACAGTTAAACTATTACTAGTTTGAATCAAAACCGAACTAGTTGAACCATTTAACATCCCTAATTAAGATAGCATCGTTTTAATATTTTTTATCATTACAATATCATATATTTACGATATTAAAATGATATCAAATTGATATCCTAAAAAATGATATTATTATTTAATATCTTTACCGACATTATATTAATTATAATATCATAATAAATATCAAAATGATATCATTAGGATTATTTTAACGATATCGGTTAAATTTTTAGGGTTTATGTAAAATATTACTCTAAAATAATTGCTTTTTTTATTTCAAATCTGAAAACTTCTCGATAATAAATTTTTTTAAATAAAGAATTACTATTACAGATTAGAAGATTAGAAGCAAATTAAAAAAGGTTAAAATGTCTGGTCATATATAGTATGTTCATGTAATCATGTTATATGTGTATTTTATCGCCCATTAACACTCTATAAAACTTAACAGTTAATTGCATGTTTAGCTTGGGGAGCATATATAACAGTTCTCTTTCTACGATATAATAAGTAACTAACAGATATAATAATTATTACAGTTGCAATAACACAAGTTGTTCCACCTATTATTGCTGCATGAGCTGCTCCAGGTGATTTGGTTGCATTTGCTGATTTAGTTGCACTTGCTGATTCAGTTGTACTTGCTGATTCAGTTGTACTTTCTGATTCAGTTGTACTTGCTGATTCAATTGTATAGGTATTATTTGGAGTAAAACTTTTAACCCACTTGTAATTATTTTTTTCGCTCACGTCAATCATATGAATTTGATCACTATAAACTATATTTTGAGGAGTATGATTGTAATTTCCTAAATAATATAATAATTTGAAGAAAAATTAAATAAACTTAATTCAAGTAAAAGCAAGATTTCATCAATATAACATTCATACCAAATGCAATAATCATATAATTTCCAACAAGAGTAGCCGTATGTCCACTGGTTGGTGCAGAGCTAGGTGCAGGATCGATATTAGGAATGGACCATGTAAAAGGGTTTACTTTGGTATCTAAAACTAAGATTTGATCAGGAACAGGTCTCATTTCTTTTATTCCTCCATATATAATAATAAGACCATCTTGTGCTAGAAAATTATTTAACCCATTTTATTAAAAATACTTTATTTAATCTAATATATGTTTTTTTTAAAATTGATAGTACATACTTAAGACCGCTGTATGTAAATTTCTAGGTGATGGTATAGTTCCATTTGTACCCTATGAATAATTGTGTTGTAACAAATTTTGTGCAGAGAATAAAAAATTGGCATCTCCTTTATAAAATTATTTACCATATTTATCCATGTTCCATCATTGGTATCATATATATGAATATTCCGAAACTGTGTTAATATAATAAACATACAGTAAATTAAATCATTACGTATCTAATAACAATAAAAATTAATTAATCAAAATAGTCGTACATTAACCAATTCATTATCAATGTATCTATTGCCGATATAAACAATTCTTCCTTTTGGTAATAAGATCGCCAGAGAAAGATAATTCATTATATTATTATTATTCTTATCAAGAAATACTGAAATCCAGGAGGTAGTATATAAAATAGTCATAAAATATTCATTATCATCATATCCACTACCATATATATATATACGTGATCCATTTTCATTACAGACGGCTGATAACCATTGAATATCAGTAGCACCTGTACCCGGAACCCACTCTTCGCTATTAATAAATCTATAAGAAAAACTATCTTTAAAAGCTCTACACATTATAAAGATCATATCTTTGTTAGGACCACAAATAGATGATACCCCATAACTATGAGGATGAATATAACGAGCATCGTTACTTAAATCAAAGATTGGTAAAGTAGAATCCAAATTAAAAGGTTTTGAAACGTCTAAATAAAAAAAATCATTGGTATCATCAGAATATTTTTCTATCATTCCACCAAGAAAATAAATTTTATTGTCCATATAACTTGCGGTGTGACCAACACGTCCAACAAGTGTATAAGGACTAGTAATAATTAATTGTGAAAAAAAAAAAAAAAAGAATATAGAATATCGAGACATTTGATTAAAAATGTCACAAATACATTTAATATGTTTGAAATAACAAATTAAACACATTTATTTAGTAATACGCCACAAGTTACGAGCGATAAAGTATAAATTAATGACGCAAACAATGCTAAAAGGTTTCGCGAAACCTTAAAATAAGTCACCACACTACTAGATATAAAGGAAAAATCAAAATACGATATACGGTATGGCGAAAATAGGGAAATAGGTGAGATGTAAAATGGAAAAATAGCAATAAAAACCTTATATGTTGTTTTATTAAATGGCGAATTATTTAGCCTGGTTTTGTTACACACTGTAGTGTCATAATTTTACCATAATTAAAAGTAGTAGATAGGTCAGTATATTAGGTAATGATAATAGCTCACTTCGTAATATGTGGTTCAGTATTGGTATTGAAATAATTAATGATTAATGATCGTGATGTAGATCATTTTATGAAAATCATAGACCTGCATAGTGATAAACATTAATAATAATAATAGTAATTATGATGTAACATTAAAGGATAGTGAAACATTATAAGTTAATAACGTACCTTTAAATACTTTTGGGAGAAATTGAAAGAGTTCTTACGTTCAGACATCAATTAATCTTTATATTAGAATTTATTTTCACAATGTCAGTAATCAATGTAATATTTTTAACCCATAAATCTTATATTTTATAACCCAAAATTCGTATCTTATAATTTTATGTAATAATAAACCAAGCAACGCATTTTATTTAATAAAGTTCTTATCTTATTTAATTTTAACTCAATGTCACTTGTCGTGGAAAAGGTGGCAGCTTTTCTCGCACGGCAACACTTAGCTCCCTTAGTACTATAAGTAATAAGAAGTGTCATATTTGTATATGATCTGCAATCAGGTGAATCAAATGCCCAATGATATGTTACAGTTGTTACAGTGTTACACGTCTATTTTGTGTCCATTTATGTTAAATGCAAATAACAAAAACATATGAAATTTACGATATATTATTTTAAGACCTTTGCAAATTTTCATTGCTAAGTTCTTTTATCATGGTTTAAATCATGATGATATGGAGGTAATCCAGCTATTATTTCACTTATACAGTAATTATACCAAAACTATCATAATTTTAGTATAATTTTGCCCTCTTAAAATTTTGGTAGTAAAACGTCTAATACAGAAACGAAAACTTTCCTCTCACTCTCTTTTATATCTTCCCTACAGGGATGGAAACGACTCTGTTGGTTCAGCTTCAGTTCTGCGAGCCAAACCAAGTCAGAGTGAGCCTAACCGGTTCCAAACCCCGGTTTGAAACAGCGAACGAGCAGTAGCATTAGGCTAGGACCCCTGAATACAGAGATATCACATTAGGTTTTGTACTAATTAACATATGTGATATGATCTTTCTATTATCACTGCGGAGGTTCCAAGGTTCTAATCAGTGTATTATTAGGCTATGGTAGATGGACATTTAGAAAAAAATTTAACTTTCGTTAATACTTACTGTAATAGCAAAATTAACGTTGTACATCAAGGAGGAACTAGTTACCTTTCTCGAAGATTATCAAGCACTTCTCTGAACACATTTATATCAACCTCTTGAAAGTTTCAATAGAGTAGTATAATTCGTAAATAAATAAACTTGAAATCTCAGCTTTGCACATGACAAACACGTCTCATAAATATGGTGATGGAAAGGACTCAATTGATTGAAGAGCTAGCATGTACATCTTCATGGATACAAATCATCGTCGTAGATACACGTATTGTAAATATTTTATTTAAATAGATTCATTCTAACGGGCTCACCTCCATGCAACGGCCATTTTCTCGTGGACTTTTCTTAATATAAAGGCCTTAACAGCTGGTAATTATATTGATCTTCCAAAACTTGGAAGAGAGTCTACTGATGTCGTCGAATACAAAAGATAGTATATCAGAGCGCGTTTTGAAATATATTGTAGTAACTAACGAGAAAGACAATACTAATGCAAATGAAGCAATTCAACGCGAATTTATTTTTCATTTGTTATGATGGAAACTTCAGGAATATGAACTTACTAGAAGTTGTAGGAAAGCCAGTGGATTCATCTTATTGCCTTATCAAGATCGGAGGTACGGCCATTGTTACTACTACGGGACAAGATATTGATCTATCTAGTTCGATCGAGGACTATGTTTATACCCTAGACAATATTCCGGTTAGATGATTTCCTGTTCGTTGGACTATTCCAGAAAGAAAAGAAAGAGAGAAATTCATGGCTGTTCTCGGATAGTATACGCATTTTTCAGCTATGGTCCCCTGATTCATTATCAAAATTCTGCATTCGTTTTAAGAGCAGAAAAAACCTAGTGCTTTTATTTCCTGCTTGTTTAATAATAGGTTGCAATCTTTTTAAATCTTGCGAATATTGCACTTTTTACTGTTTGAACGTCCCCCTTTCTATGTTTTTTCTTATACTGTATTAATAAAAAGTAACCTCTATAAAGATAACCAAAATATAATATCAAATTTTATACTTCTATATTTAATATTCACATTAAGGTGTCTGAAAAAATTGGTGTTGAAATAAAGACAGGTATTGATGTGGTAGAAGTTGAAGACTTGAAATTGGAGGTGTTAAAGCAAACGTTAGACTTAATATTGATACAAGTGCATCTATTAGCAGCGATGGTGTAGAAGCTAAGATTGTAGGTTTAGGTTTTAAAGTCGGAAAATTAACAGGATTCAGTACACCTTTAGGAGAGTTTGAAATTAATTTTGGAAAAATGTTTGGTTAATTGTCTATATTTTAAACTGATCAATGTACGATGAATTATTTCGACATATCTACATATTTTTTTTCCGTTATTATACATTGTGAAATTTTCAGTTATTTGATAACAACGTTAAATCTTTTTATAGTGTAAACTGAAAGTCTTAATTACGTCTTAGATCTATGTAAATTGTTTTAATTTTTCTTACGTATTTGGATTTTGTTTATGAATAAAGTTACTATTATATTATAAAATAAACATTTATGATTTATAAAAAGTCAGCAAATACTGCATGTTCTGCTGTTTTAATTAAGAATAATACAGATTTCTACTTCCACATAATTATAGGATAATAGTAATCATAATTTACTCTCACAATCTACAAAATATTGACCTGAACTTTTGAAATTTTGACAATGGAGAAGTTCATTTAATAATTGTTTATGAAGTAAAATCATTGTACAAGTATAACAAACCAATTCGTCCAAGCAATAGAGCGCCTTTTTTTCTTTTAGTCCGATTATCCCGTTATCGATATTGATCAAGACCTAATGCCACAATAGTAAAAACTTTATAGTTGTTTCTATTACATTTATCTTTTGGAATTATTTCCATATTTTTTTTTTTCTGAATATTTTGGACTTTACTTACATAATGATTCGTGATAAACACCCAAATTTGGTTATAACAATACATATATTTACAGTATATTTTTTTAGGCAGTTGAGCATATTAAATAAATGCAACTTGAATGGAACGAGCTCCTTCGAAAATTTCATGCGATGACTTAAACATTTCTTGCGATTTTTCAGATACAACATCTTACACAATTAACAATTCATCGTCCTACACATTTTTTTTTAAAAAAAAAGTAAATAAATAAACAAAATAATTACCGAAATACTGTATATACAATCATTTAATGTCAAGTTTCATCAACCGTTTTCAAAATGATGAATCCTATTAATAATCAATTTGTGCGACCGTACCTATCAAATATGAATTAACGATATCTGTAAACCAACATGATCCAATTGACTCATGGAATTATCATTCTAATAGATAAAAATTACCGAATGTTCCACCAATCAATAAAGGGCGCTATGACTTTATTGGTATCCAACCGGCGGTAAACAATAAATAAGAGGTTTAAACCAAATATTTTTATACGTCATATGACTTATTATAATGTATTTCCTTTTTTATATATTTGGGAATTTTATTCAATTTATGATGATGATAAATAAGGCTAATTACTCGAATAAATGACACAATGGTGAATAAAAAAAAAATGATCATCACACAAAAGTACATATGCAGTAATTAAAATTTTTGAATTGTGAAATTCTAACTTTAATTAAGTTAATCGATTGTTTTTTTGATAATCTTAATAATGAGAACTTTAACTTAAAATATGTTCATTACGATTTTGGGTAAAATTTAATTTCGGATAAATTTCGGATAAATTTTGATTTAAGTTTCGGTTAAATTTCGGATAAATTTTTGGTATATCAATTTCGTAGAGATCATTTTATTATAAATATTCCTAAAATTTCATGTTGGAATTCATCAAGTAAACATTAAATTTTTTTTTTTTTTAAAAAAAAAAATACATTCAAATAATTCTTACCAATAATTTACAAAAAAATTAAAAATTAAAATTATAATACTATTACAAAAATGCAACAAGAAAAAGTTCCAACTGTAATTATCATCGGTGCAGGTCCGGGAGGACTTTCTCTTTATCATTCTTTGATAAAAAACAAAGATAAAAAAGAATTCAATGTAAAAATCTTTGAACGAGAATCTGGTCCTAAAGGTAAATAATTTTATATGAATTTTGTAAATGCCTTTTATTAATACCACGTAACTAACTCAACTTCTGTTAAAACTTATAACATTAGATCGATGGCAAGGTTATCATGTAGGTTTTACATCTCAAGGATTTCGATCACTTATGAATTGTATTCCATCCTCAGTCGCTTTAAACCTACCAAAAGCAATTCCAAACCCAGTTCCTGATGTAGAATATCATGGAGTTTCAGCCAATGATCATGAGGGAAATCTTTTACTAAGACCTCCATTTAAACAATTTAAAGACATTTATGAAATCGCAGAAATTCCCGATCATTTTCTGTCAATGACTGTTGCTTATCGTGATAGGCTTAGAGAAGTTTTATTAGAAAATGTTCCAGTTCAATGGGGTAAAAAGCTTGTCAAATATGAAGAAACTGACGAAGGTGTTTGGGTAAATTTCGAGGACGGATCACAAGAATTTTGTGACATTTTAGTTGATGCAAGCGGAGTTAATTCTCCAGGTAAAAATTCAAGATTTAATAAATTAAAAAATAAAACATTATTTATTTTATTCTTTGACTAATAATTTTTTTTTCTTTCTTTAGTTCGAAAACAAAAAATACCAGAATTACAAATTAACGATATGGGAGCAAATTTTGTTGTTGCAAATATCATTGTACCTAAGCATCTAATGGACAGGCTAATTAAAGTTAATGGAAATAGTTTAGTTCAAAAAACACTTGGATTAAATGGGGATGCAACACTTATTGCATTACGTTTAATTCCAATTGAACAAGAACAAAATTACAATAATAAAAACAATTTCGATGAGCTTCATTATAGAACAACAATAGCATATTTTTATTCTAGCGAATTAGATAATGATGAAACAGAAAAATTTAAAGTTGATGATAATAATCCTGAATCAGTTGTTGAACATGTTAAAAATATGATTCGAAAATTAAGGCCAGAGTGTGAAATGACTGATATTTTATTAGAATTATGGGATTTAGCTCCTAAAGCAATTCCAAAAAAGTCAGAAGATTATCTATTTAAAACTTATAATCCAATACAACTAAGAAAAGTACGAGATATTAATCCATTAACTATTAATTCGTGGACGAGTAGCCGAGTTACATTAATTGGAGATGCAGTACATGCTATGAGTCCTTTATTAGGATTAGGAACAACACATGCTATTCAAGATGCTGAAGCTCTTTCTCAAGCACTACTTGAATATTCTCCAGAAAATTATATTTCTTGTATTAAAGAATATGAAAATAAAATGTTAAAACGAGCACCTGTTGATGTGTTAAAATCTAGAGACGCTACGATAAATCACGTTACACCTGTTGGATATTTTGGTCTTATCATTAGAAATAATATACTAAAGACTACAAACTTTTTAATGAAAGTTCATGATTTGTTATAAATTTTATTTAAACAATTTAGATATAGTTAGAATTTTTTATTGTGATAGAAAACTTTTATATATTATTTTTGATATAATTAAAATTTGTCATTATTGTACTAGAGGACTTTTATATATAAATATATAAATAAAGTTTACATATTATTTATTATACCTATTTATAAATTCAGGCTTAAAATTATTGTTTTTGATCACTTATTACGCGATGGTTGAACTTGTACTTTTTCTACTTGATTTTTAATTTTGTTCTTGCATACTTTATAATATTCTTTGAATTATCTTCGTTATCATTTATCCAATTGGTTAACATCAAATTTAAATAAATGTCTTTATCGTAAGAATCCATCTTTTCTTGCTTTTAGAGTAGATTTTAAATTTGTTTACAAGTGAGATCCCACTTTCCATCAATGAACTTTGCTTTAAGTATTGTACAAGATGATGAAAAATGATTAGATGAAGCGCCGAACTGTACAACGTAATTCCTTCAACAGTTGCGTAATATGTTTTAAAAAGTTCTAAGTAATCATTATTAAAGTTATCAAAAGAATGTTTTAGGATATTTTATTTTTTAAGTTACGAAATACTTTACTGCTGTATATACCTTTTAATTTTTCTTCCAGATTTTAAATCGAGTACATATGAAGGTCCTGTTATCATTATTTAAGTAGAAACATTCAAAATTGAGTGATAAAAAGTTCATAATTTTCTAAAAAAAAACATATGACATTATACGACATACGAATCTTTTACTAACATGTTCGCTACATTCTTTTATTAATGGCTTGTTATTTACTAATATCTTTAGAGAAAATCCTGAATATATCATTTTTTTTTTTATTAGTAATAATGGGTAAAATAGATCTATACTTTTTATATATGACGCATGTCAAAAAAGATTTTTGAAGGACAGTTGCCGTAGCCGCAGATTGTTATGAGAATTTATATTTTTTTTTTGAAAAAAAGCTCAAACTTTTTAGAACAAATAATATCGTGATGATATATTAAAATAAATTTAACACGTAATGAACAATATAAAACGCGTTTAAATCTTTATAAATCTGCATGGTAAACATACAGATTGTTAGATTTTTGATGAAAATTTAAAAAATTTAAATGAAATTTAAATATCGAAAACCTGTGATTTAACATCATGATAATCATGTATGATCACGCGTGTTAAATTAAAGAAAAAATTTTATACGGTTCGTGATTTATGTATAAAGATTTTTAATACAAACTCTTACCAATTACCATAACCCATATTTAAAGTATAAACAAAGTTTAAAATTTTCTATTTCTGATCATGTTAAGATAAAGCAGAGAAAGAAATTTCAAACCATCGACATCGAAATTGCAAAGAAATCAAACTTATGATAATAAATTAATAATAAATTTAGAACAATTAAATCAAAGACAATTAAAATGTTATATCTTTAATTGCCGATTCGTCTAAAATCGGCACTGCGTTACTAATAAAATTCGGAGATAATAGCGACAATAAAAAAAAGCGTTTTTCATATCTTACGCGCGGAATAGATTTCCACCCATTTCACAAACAAAAGTACCATGAACTTTCACCTGGTTCTAATAATAAAAATATTTCAAAAAAGTCTTTAAAAACAACTTTGAAGCTAATAATTATGTAAATAACGCAATATAGCAAAATAAATATTGAAATTTCCTATATTTAAGGTGTAAATCTGACGCGCGCACATAGTAAACTCATTATTTTGCATAATTTTTTTTTTGCAAATTCTTTTTTTTTTTCAAGTATTTTTTCAGTATATCATATGATTTTTATTTATAATTAATATGTCGTCTATGAAAATGTTCTAGCACAAAATCGGCAAATTTAACCCGAATTTTATTAGTAACGCAGTGCCGTTCTTAGACGAATCGGCAATTAATGAAAGAAAAATGCAACTACTCATACGAATTTTATAATATCAAATGCCGCCGGGTTTAAGCACGGCAATATTTTTCTTTCCTTTGTACACTTTTTTTTGGCGTCGGGGACAAATAATTATGCGACGAATAGGTTTCACACCATACAAAAAAAAAAATGGTTACGCAAAAAGTACATTTTTTCACGGTAATGCAGAGGAAAATTTGAAGATATTGTTATTTTTATAATTTCCAATTCAATCCAAACGTTTTAAAGTTAAAAAGCTTATGCTTAAAATCTTTATTTTTTGTCTAACATATTTTACTTATATTCTTACAACATAATTTTGTATAACGTTATAACATTAATTCTAAAAATAATTGATATTAAAATACTATAGAAAATTAAGACAGAATTTTTTTTTTTTGTATATTTTGTATTTTTGTTTTTTTTTTGATTTTTAAATAATATTAATAATAAGATAATGATAATAATAGATAATAAAAATAAAAATATTTATCCAAAATTTGGATTATTTATGATTAACCAGTTAACTGGGGATTTGGAGATAACAAGCTTAAAATTTGCAAAGGGGTTAACTCTTCATTATGAGAGATCTTGGATAGAAGATTTCTTTTTAGCGCATACCAATAGTTTTTTGGTATATTATCAGGACGCAATGTATGGAATTCTTCTTCCATATCGGAGATTAAGACTTTCCATTTGATTTCGTCATTCGAGCCTAGGTTCTTTTTAATCCATTGAACGACAAATTCTTTTTCTTTCTTGTTAAGAGGGTCGCGATTAACTGAAGGGTTAAAATTATTATTATTATTATTATTATTTATTATTTAAAAGAAAATTTAAAATATTACTTACGTCCGGGCTTGAGTTTATCTACCCAGCTAAATAATAACAAAAAATCAATTAATTTTTTTTCAAAAAAATAATAAATAAATTAAAGTAAATTAAATTATTAAAAGTACAATAACTAACCGCTGCCTAATTCTTTTAGCTTTATATTTAGGAATTACTTTTTTAATCTCCGCGAAAGGGTTATTTGGATATAGGGTTTCATATTCTTGATCTATCATGCAATCTGTGATAATCTTATCGATCTACAGAAAGGATTTTTTTTTTGAGGTTAAATAAATAATAATTGAATAATAAAAAATATATATTTACAAATATTTTTGAAAAAAAAATACATACCTCTTCAGTAAAAAGAGGCTCTTTTGTTACTTTTGACATATTTGCTGCTGTGTTGATATATTTTATTTGTTGATATAAAAAAAAAAAATATTTTTTTATTGGTATAAAAAATATATTTTTTGTTGTTATATATATTTTTGTTGGTATAAATAATATATTTCAATATTTTCTAAAAAAATGATGATCCGAAATTATTCTTTATTTATAACAATTTTTTTTTCTGTTTTTTTTTTTTTTTTTTTTTTTTTTTTTTTTGTTTATTAAATCATTTTATTGATCATTTTTTAATGTAAATATTATCAATTGTTTTCCTTTTTAATAATGAAATGGTATATTAATGATGCACCCAATCTCGAAGAAGCCATGCAAGATCTCGATCGATCTCATTCGCTTCCATAAATAATAATATTATTTTTAATGATGATCATGTACTTATATACACACAGTCACACAGTGTATTACATAATATTAGGATTGCCATTATATTTATTTAAACAATGGAGGAGTACAGTAATTCAAATGAACCTTATTTTTTTTTTTTGGATTGTAATAAGAGACCATTCAATATTTAAAATATGTAATATGTACTTAATTATGTCATAAAAAAATTTCTTTTTAAATGAAATTATATAAAAAAAAAAATTTATTTAATTAGATATATATTACTGTAACAAGCATTTTATAAATAAATTCAGGCAAAAATACTGTAAATCAAATTCACAATAGCTCAAAATTATCATTTGTTCTCGCTCAAATAATTGCGAATGATGATGATCTTTACGAGTCAAATAAGATATATGATATATGTTCTCTAATAATGACGAATTGACGATTGATGCATAAGAGCTTGTGCCATCTTTATTTCGGGCGAACATTTTGAAACACAATATCTTTTATACTTGTATTACATTATTATAATATCGATAAATAATAAATATGGTAAGAATAATTCAATAATATTTAATTTTATTTTTAGATTTCTTTTTGAATGCCATCTTACACAATTTTTTTTAGGCATGTGATTAAATCATGCGTATTTATGCGCATGCGCATTACGCAATTGAAAATCATGAATTCTGCGTGAAATTTCCATTTCACGTGATTCGACGTATAATTTTTTTTTTTTTTTTTAAAAAAAAATAATCTTTTATTAACATGTTTAATATGTTATTAAAAAAATTATATTAAATCTAATGTTAAAAAATTCATTATGAAGTTTCTATGAAAAATAAATAAAAAAAAAAAGATTTTTTTTTTTTAAAAAAAATATTTATGACTTCACAAATAATCCAATTTTGTTAAAAATTATCATTACAAAATGTTCATAATTCATGATACCCATAAATATAATCTGCTGACAACCTTATCTCTTTAAATTCTGAAAATATAACAATCGTAATTAGATGACAAAAGGTTTATGGCTGAAATTTTCCGTAATTCTTCGCATTCTTACCTCATCACTTCATTTTAGCTTAGAATGTTAATGTATTGTAAAAAAGAAGTCTTGTCCTGAATGAATTTACATAGTACAAAATTTTTAATTGCAAATGACAAATATTATTTACCATTGTAACACCATAATTAAATTCTACCCCACGTGTCAGGTGACATTTAAAGGGAGACAAAAAAAAACCAAAGTCCCTCAGATACGGTGGGGTATGATGTCGGTGATGAATATTTTTAGGTCACATGGGATAATCATCACGGTTAGGTGATTGGAATGTTAGAAAATAAGCTCTCATTTTTATTGCACCACTGGCTCGCTAAGAAAATATCTGATCTCACACCGGTTTTAGTTTTATGGAGGATGTAGTGAAGACAATAGTTTTGTTCTCGTAACAGCTGCATACTAACAATTTGAATTTCTAACCATTATTACTCAAAAAAAAAAAAAGTTATACTAAATATACCATTTTTTTTTTTATTGCGTCTCTTGATTTGCCACTATCATTATATATAATAACAATTCTTTAGATCTGAAGAAAATTTTAAAGAATTGATTAAATTGATTTCTTTTCTTCTTTGTGTAAAAAAAAAAAATTTTTTGTTTTGGAAAAATTCTCATGTATTTATACTTGTAATAATTCGAAAGAAAAATTCGAAAAATTATGATCTTTGAAACGCACAATCAAACTGCTGCTTTTTTAACGAATTGATTTTAGTTTTAAATTTCGAATATTCTTTTTTTTTTTTTTTTTTTTTTTTTTTT